CCACATCCCCTGTGCTGTTGGCCGCCCAGCTTCCAGGTGTCTGCTCCTCTGGTGAGACGGGGCCAGTAGATGCTCTCCTCAACTCCTTGCCTGGGTGGGCAAGTCAGGCTCTAGGGCCGGCAGAAATCCTCATTTGAGGATCCCACCGAGTTCCCCGGTCAGAGTGCTGCAGCTGAGCAGATAGGCTGCTTGGGAATACTGCTCAGGTGCTGCAGAAAGCCTTCTTGGAATCTGACATGTTATCACTTTGGGACCATTGGCTGGCTGCTCCTGACTTGGCCACTTGAAGGCTCAGACTGTCCCAGTCTCTGAACTGAAGAGAACCAAGACTATTAGCATATCTCTCACCACCATCAATGCAAGGTATTTCAATGAAGAGTATCAGGAGGACAACTACAAATCCCACACTGGCATGTGCAAGTTCTGAGGAATGGTGGAATAACCCAATGTGTCTGGGTGACCTTTGGAGACAGCTGAGACAGAGCTACAACAGGTCAGTAGTGGACACCAAACTCATAGCCCATCTTCCCCAGCCGTGTGGCTGACAGGGTCTTGGTGCTCCGGCCTGCTTTCAGGCCTGAGCCTCCGAGGTAGGAGAGCCGAATTCAGGACACTGGTCCACCAGAGACCTCCTGGCCCCACGTAGTATCAGTCGGCGAGAGCTCTCCCAGACATCTCCATCTCAACACTAAGACCCAGCTTCACTCAATGACCAGCAAGCTCCAGTGCTGGACACCCCATGCCAAACAACTAGCAATGCAGGAACACAACCCCACCCATTAGCAGAGAGGCTGCCTAAAATCATAATAAGCTCACAGACACCACAAAACACACAACTGGATGCAGTCCTGTCCACTAGAAAGACAAGATCCAACCTCATCCACCAGAACACAGGCACCAGTCTCCTCCACCAGGAAGCCTACACAACCCACTAAACCAAACTTACCCACTAGGAGCAGACACCAAAAACAACGGGAACAATGAACCAGCAGCCTGCGAAAAGGAGACCCCAAACACAGTAAGTTAAGGAAAATGAGAAGACAGAGAAATACACAGCAGATGAAGGAGCAAGGTAAAAACCCACCAGACCAAACAAATGATGAGGAAATAGGCAGTCTACCTGAAAAAGAATTCAGAGTAATAATAGTAAAGATGATCCAAAATCTTGGACATAGAATGGAGAAAATACAAGAAATGATTAACAAGGACCTAGGAGAACTAAAGAACAAACAAACAATGATGAACAGCGTTGAACAATAAATGAAATTTAAAATTCTCTAGAAGGAATCAATAGCAGAATAACAGATGCAGAAGAATTGATAAGTGACCTGGAAGATAAAATAGTGGAAATAACTCCCACAGAGCAGAATAAAGAAAAAAGAATGAAAAGAATTGACGACAGTCTCAGAGACCTCTGGGACAACATTAAACACACCAACATTCGAATTATAGGGGTCCCAGAAGAAGAAGAGAAAAAGAAAGGTTCTGAGACAATATTTGCAGAGATTATAGTTGAAAACTTCCCTAATATGGGAAAGGAAATAATCAAGTCAAGGAAGCGCAGAGAGTCCCATACAGGATAAATCCAAGGAGAAACACACCAAGACACATATTAATCAAACTATCAAAAATTGACTACAGAGAAAAATATTAAAAGCAGCAAGGGAAAAACAACAAATAACATACAAGGGAATCCCCATAAGGTTAACAGCTGATCTTTCAACAGAAACTCTGCAAGCCAAAAGTGTGTGGCAGGACATATTTAAAGTGATGAAAGGGAAAAACGTACAACCAAGATTACTCTATCCAGCAAGGACCTCATTCAGATTCGACAGAGAAGTTAAAATCTTTACAGACAAGCAAAAGCTAAGAGAATTCACCACCACCAAACCAGCTTTACAGCAAATGCTAAAGGAACTTCTCTAGGCAGGAAACACAAAAGAAGGAAAAGACCTACAATAACAAACCCCAAACAATTAAGAAAATGGTAATAGGAACATACATATCAATAACTATCTTAAATGTAAATGGATTAAATACTCCAACCAAAACATACACTGGCTGAATGGATACAGAAACAAGACCCATATATATTTTGTCTACAAGAGACCCACTTCAGACCTAGGGACACATACAGACTGAAAGTGAGGGGATGGAAAAAGGTATTCCATGCAAATGGAAATCAAAAGAAAGCTGGAGTAGCAATTCTCATATCAGACAAAATAGACTTTAAAATAAAGACTATAAGAGACAAAGAAGGACACTACATAATGATCAAGGGATCAAACCAAGAAGAAGAGATAACAATTGTAAATCTTTATGCACCCAACATAGGAGCACCTCAATACATAAGGCAAATGCTAACAGCCATAAAAGGGGAAATCAACAGTAACACAATCATAGTAGGGGACTTCAACACCCCACTTTCACCAAAGGACAGACTATCCAAAATGAAAACAAATAAGGAAACACAAGCTTTAAATGACAGATTAAACAAGATGGACTTAATTGATATTTATAGGACATTCCATCCAAAAACAACAGAATACACTTTCTTCTCAAGTGCTCATGGAACATTCTCCAGGATAGATCATATCTTGGGTCACAAATCAAGCCTTGGTAAATTTAAGAAAATTGAAATCATATCAGGTATCTTTTCTGAACACAACTCTGTAAGACTAGATATCAATTATAGAAAAAAAACTGTAAAAAATACAAACTTATGGAGGCTAAACAATACACTACTAAATAACCAAGAGATCACTGAAGAAATCAAAGAGAAAGTCAAAAAATACCTAGAAACGACAATGAAAACACGACGACCCAAAACCTATGGGATGCAGCAAAAGCAGTTCCAAGAGGGAAGTTTATAGCAATACAAGCCTACCTCAAGAAACAAGAAAAATCTCAAACAATCTAACATTACACCTAAAGCAATTAGAGAAGAAGAACATAAAAAACCCAAAGTTAGCAGAAGGAAAGAAATCATAAAGATCAGATCAGAAATAAATGAAAAAGAAATGAAGGAAACGATAGCAAAGATCAGTAAAACTAAAAGCTTGTTCTTTGAAAAGATAAACAAAATTGATAAACCATTAGCCAGACTCATCAAAAAAAAAAGGAAGAAGACTCAAATCAATAGAAATGAAAAGAAGTAACAACTGACACGACAGAAATACAAAATATCATGAGAGATTACTACCAGCAGCTATATGCCAATAAAATGGACAACCTGGAAGAAATGGACAAATTCCTAGAAAAGCACAACCTTCCAAGATTGAACCAGGAAGAAATAGAAAATATGAACAGACCAATCACAAGCACTGAAATTGAAACTGTGATTAAAAGTCTTCCAACAAACAAAAGCCCAGGACCAGATGACTTCACAGACGAATTCTATCAAACATTTTGAGAAGAGCTAACACCTATCCTTCTCAAACTCTTCCAAAATATAGCAGAGGAAGGAACACTCCCAAACTCATTCTACGAGGCCAACATCACCCTGATACCAAAACCAGACAAAGATGTCACACACAAAAAAAACTACAGGCCAATATCACTGATAAACATAGATGCAAAAATCCTCAACAAAATCCTAGCAAACAGAATCCAACAGCACATTAAAAGGATCGTACATCATGGCCAAGTGGGGTTTATCCCAGGAATGCAAGGATTCTTCAATATACACAAATCAATCAATGTGGTAAATCATATTAACAAATTGAAGGAGAAAAAACATATGAACATCTCAATAGATGCAGAAAAAGCTTTTGACAAAATCCAACACCATTTTTGATAAAAACCCTGCGGAAAGTAGGCGTAGAGGGAACTTACCTCAACATAATAAAGGCCATATATGACAAACTCACAGCCAACATCGTTTTCAATGGTGAAAAACTAAACCATTTCCACTAAGATCAGGAACAGGACAAGGTTGCCCACTCTCACCACTATTATTCAAATTAGTTTTGGAAGTTTTAGCCACAGAAATCAGAGAAGAGAAAGAAATAAAAGGAATCCAAACTGGAAAAGAAGAAGTAAAACTGTCACTGTTTGCAGATGACATGATACTATACATAGAGAATCCTAAGGATGCTCCCAGAAAACTACTAGAGCTAATCAATGAATTTGGTAAAGTAGTAGGATACAAAATTAATGCACAGAAATCTCTTGCATTCCTATACACTAATGATGAAGATGAAAAATCTGAAAGAGAAATTAAGGAAACACTCCCATTTACCATTGCAATCCCACTACTGGCATATACCCTGAGAAAACCATAATGCAAAAAGAGTCATGTACCACAATGTTCATTGTAGTACTATTTACAATAGCCAGGATGTGGAAGCAGCCTAAGTGTCCATCAACAGATGAATGGATAAAGAAGATGTGGCACATATATACAGTGGAATATTACTCAGCCATAAAAAGAAATGAAATTGAGTTATTTGTAGTGAGGTGGATGGACCTAGAGTCGGTCATACAGAATGAAGTAAGTCAGGAGAAAAACAAATACTATATGCTAACACATATATATATGGAATCTTTAAAAAATAAATGGTTCTGAAGAACCTAGAGGCAGGACAGGAATAAAGACACAGACATGGAGAGTGGACTTGAGGACATGCAGAGAGGGAGGGGTGGGCTGGGACAAGGTGAGATAGTGGCATGTACATATATACAAATGTAGAATGGATGGCTGGTGGGAAGCAGCTGCATAGCGCAGGGAGATCAGCTCTATGCTTTGTGAACACCTAGAGGGGTGGGATAAGGAGGGTGAGAGGGAGATGCAAGAGGGAGGGGATATGGGGATACGTCTATACGTATGGCTGATTCACTTTCTTATACAGCAGAAGCTAATGCATCATTGTAGACAATTATACTACAATAAAGATGGTGAAAAAAAATTGAAGCTCATATATTTGACTTAAGAAAAATCTAATGGAAAGCACTGAGTCTTGGGATTGGCTGAAATTCACAAAGCCACAGTAATCCCCTTGATGTCCTTAGGCTGTTCCCAGGGGCAGCAGAAGGTAGTTATTGCATCTTTAGCACCAGAGAAATCTAGACAGTATTAGTAAAAAGTGGTTTTGCTCTGGTTTTAAAAAGAGATGGGCTGAGACTTTGACTCTGAGATTAGGTGACTTTGGAAAAATGACTTAGCCTCTCTGGGCTTCAGTTTCCTCATGTGTACAAATGGAAATACTAAACCTACTTCATGAACTGTTATAAAAGTGTTTAACATATTGCCTGGCACTTGTCACACACAGAGAGTCTGTTCTATTTATTATAACTAAGAGCTCTCTGCAAAACACCATCCCAAAAGACCCCAAGAGGGAAAATGTATCTCATGTTCTAGGCAGCCTAAAACCAGGACAACGAAAAAGCAGATGAAAGAAAGTGAGGAGTCACTAATCAAACAATATTTAGTGAATGCCCCAGCAGGATCTGTGCCCAAGGAACATTCTTCCCGCAGACTTCACAGGACTCCCTCTTTTTCATTTTTAAGGTCTGATCTCAAATATGATCCCTCTCATGGAGTCCCTGCAGACGATTATAACCAGAAGAACACTGCCCACTTACACAATATCCTAGTCCATCTTCTTTGTAGCACTTATAAACACTTGAAATTATCTGAATTATTTGCATCCATGTTTATTGTCTGCCTCTCCAAATATAAACCCTTCGAGGGTAAGAACTAGATCTGCTTTGTTTACAACTACATCCCCAAAACTTGTGTTCAGCAGCGAATGAGATCCCAACACCCAGGTGGTAATAAGTTCAGCAGTGACTAAGACTTCCATGCTCCAGAACTACAGAAGCCCCTGAAGAAATTCTAGGCAGGGGCTCTGCCCTAAAGAATCCATAAAAAGAAAAACATATATAGTCAAAGCTAACCACAAGTATATACTGCCAGTTGGAAGTAAATTTAACACTCTCCCGGTTTTTTAAGATTTCATTCTTCTGAAAAGATGCATAGCACCTCCTTAACCTTCCCATTACATCTTTCTCTACTTCTCTTCAGCCTTTCCATTCTTTGCCCACCATCATGCTGATCTGTTTTGTTGTATATTTTTTCTTCTCTCTTTTCTATCTTCTGAAGGTAAGAAAAAAAATCTGGAGGGCTTAGGAAGCATAATCAAAAATTTGGAGAAGTGAGGCACATTGGAATGGCCAATAAACCTGGAGGGAAGAAATGTACACACAAAGAATTGTTATTCTTAGTTATTAGTGACACCTGAGCAGTGCTATCTTGCTGTAAACACACTAAATTTCACTCATTCCTTGAGTCATCCAGTGAACTCACAGATGGACTGATCCATGAATAATTTGGCAGATTGGGACTTTCAAATGTAGAAAAAAAGAATCAGGGCTTACAAACTAAGGATGTTAAATAGAAAATACTGAATTCAAATCATTGAGGTCAAGTAAAAATTAGTGTTAAAATGTCTCTTTTATTGACTTAGTAGAGCTTTTTAAAAAAATTCTTTGGAAAAAAAATAGCTTCATTTTTTTTTTTTTTTTTTTTTTCCTTGCGTTATGCGGGCCTCTCACTGTTGTGGCCTCTCCCATTTGCGGAGCACAGGCTCCGGACGCGCAGGCTCAGCGGCCATGGCTCACGGGCCCAGCCGCTCCGCGGCATGTGGGATCTTCCCGAAACGGGGCACGAACCCGCGTCTCCTGCATCGGCAGGCGGACTCTCAAGCACTGCGCCACCAGGGAAGCCCAGCTTCATTTTTAAAGTCACAATTGAATGTATCAAAATTTAAGCCTTGAATTAAACTTTTATTTGTACTTCAGAGATTTAATCTTTTAATCTACTAAAGACTAGTTTCTTTATGATTTTATTTTATATTTTTAATTGAAGTAGAGTTGATTTACCATGTGGCAATCTCTGCTTACAGCAAAGTGACTCAGTTATACACACAGAGACATTCTTTTTTTTAATATTATTTTCCATTATGGTTTATCCCAGGAGATTAGATATAGTTCCCTGTGCTATACAGTAGGACCTTGTTGTTTACCCATTCTAAATGTAATAGTTTGCATCTACCAACGCCATACTCCCAGTCAATCCCTCTCCCTCCCTGCCTCCCCCTTGGCAACCACAAGTAAAGAGTAGTTTCTTAATAAATGGAGGGTTGAGAAATTAATCATAGAGATAATATGGGAATAGGATGCCCACATTCTACTATGAACACTGAAGAAAATTAGAAAAAGAAGAATGCCTACTCTCTCTGATATAATAACAAGTTCTTCTTTTAAAAGTACTTGTAGTTTTTTAGCAAGGAGCTCAATGGTGGAAATAAATGTTTTAAAGCATCCCTTCTGCCTAGGCCCTTCATCAAAACTCCCTCACCCCAGGAAGTCATGATGGTTGTACTTCTTTCTTACACCAACAATAATTTGTCATAGAGTCTTTCCTAGAAAAACAAAGGTTTGATGGGATATTAGAAAGCGAAGTTGTTGAAACCCACAAAGAACCCAGCAAGACTTAGTGTTAAAAAGAACAAGAAAAACTACCAGGTACAGACATGCCTAGCAGATGCTGGCTCACCCTCCTCCCAGCTACCGTCATTACCACCACTTCACAGAGAGCTTGAGACTTGAAGAACTGAGAACCTCCAAGTACATATACATTAGCAGCACACAAATGCTGACCTTCAAGGCCCCCATGACGCCTTCCTTTCTCTACTCTCCAAGCCTCCATCTCATTCGCTTGCCTCTCTAGGTCTCTAATATCTTCCAACCATAATTCATTGAACCAAGGCTTTTGGTCTTTAACTTCTCTCGGTTCACCCTATATCTTTGACATCACACCCATTTTGGTGTCATATATTTATATACATGTTCTCATTAGGAAAGCCACATAGTGGAAAATGGAGTGGGAAAAATACCCATAATCCCACAACTAATTTAATTGCTGTTATCATATTACTGTTGTCTTTAATTTGTTCTAATTGTATTACAAACATGTAATTCTACATTCTGTTTTTCTCTCAGTATTATAAGTATATGGTTGAATGACATTTCATTGCATACATTCCACCTCTGTGGCCATTCAAGATGTTTCTAGTTTCTCACTGTTAAAAATAATAGTACAATTTATTCTCAACGTAACCATGAGAAATCCTATTAAAATCTAGGTCAGCCATTATGGTGAGTCTTTGCGGATCCAGGGATCATCCAACGCATATCTGGGCCATCCTCCGTCCCCTGTTCCCGCCGTTAGCACTACGGCCGCCCGAAGCCCGATTGCTCTTCCCTGGCCGTGTCTGACGTAGGCCGGTTGCCGAGGGCCGGGGAGCCGCCGGCGGGGAGTCCGGGCTGCGCTGTCGACCCAGACATGCCGGGCTTCGGAGTCCTCGGAATGGGGACTACGGGAGCGGCTGCTGCGTTTGTCGGCTTCGTGGAGTCTAGTGGGTGGGGTGGGGTGGGGTGGGGTGGGGTAGCGTGAGGAGAGACACATCGCACTTGAACGCTTAATTTGGGGTAGGCGGTTCGCCGGTGAAGGCAGCCCAGGAGGAGAAGAGGGTGTCGGCAGCGCCCGGGCGTGTTGCGACGACTGAAACCGTTCCCACGTAACGACACGGTAACTATCCGGACAAGGAAGTTCATGACCAACCGACTACTTCAGCGGAAACAAATGGTCATCGATGTCCTTCATCCTGGGAAGGCAACAGTACCTAAGACAGAAATTCGGGAAAAACTAAACAAAATGTACAAGACCACACCAGATGTCATCTTTGTGTTCAGATTCCGAACCCATTTTGGTGGTGGCAAGACAACTGGCTTTGGCATGATTTACGATACCTTGGATTACGCAAAGAAGAATGAGCCCAAACACAGGCTTGCAAGACATGGCCTGTACGAGAAGAAAAAGACCTCGAGAAAACAGCGAAAGGAACGCAAGAACAGAATGAAGAAAGTCAGGGGGACTGCAAAGGCCAATGTTGGTGCTGGCAAAAAGAAGTGAGCTGGAGATTGGACAACAGAAGGAGTAAAGACTCTGCAGTGACTGTGTCTGTGGTGATTGTGCAGATTTTTCATGAGAGAGTTAATAAACTAAGACTTTTTACATAAAAAAAAAAAAAAAATCTAGGTCAGATCATGTCATTCCACCAAAGATTTCCAATGGCTCCCCATCTCACATCTTGTAAAAGTGGTCTTTACAGTATCCTACAAGGCCCTAAATGATACAGCTCTCCATTACAGCTCTAACCTTATCTCCTACCACCCTCCCCTTCATTCACTCAGCTCCAATCATATTGACCTCCTTCCTATTCCTCAGATACTCTAAACACGTTCCCACCTGAAGGCCTTTGCACTGGTTACTTCCTCTGCTTCGAACCTCTTCCCCCAGATCCCATAGTCAATCCCTCACCCCCTTAATGTATTTGCTCAAATATTACCTTCTCAATGAGGCTTATGCTGATGATCTTATAGAAAACTGAAACTCACCCAGAATCCCCAGCACTCCTGATCCCCTTTACCCTGATCTACTTTTTTACTTTTTGAAAGCACCCATCACCTTCTAACATACTATGTATTTTACTTATTTAATTAGTCTATTGTTTACTATTGTCTGTCACCTGCTTCTAGAATATAAACTACATAAGGGCAAGAACCTTTGTATGTTTTGTTCAATGAAGTATCTAAAATATCTTAAAAAGTACATAGAACAACAATATTAGCTCGACAAATTCTTTTGCATGATTATAACTGCTCCAATATTTAAAAATTGTTTTTTAGAAATTGATTATTAGAAATTAATTTACTAACTCAAAGGTTATGACTCAAAATGCAGTGCTGTCAAACTGCTTTCCAAAATGTTAGCAGGATTGAGTTAATTTACTCATGGTTACTCAGTTAACGATTGGTTGAAATAGGATTTGAATTTTCCAAAGCCTACACTCTCTGTTAAGCCTACACTCTCTGCTTAACAGAGATTGAACCAAAAAACATAAAGTGGCCTTTAAGGAGCAAGAAAGTACAACTATGCACATCTTGAAGGAAAGGAAATATCTCATTCATTTTTCTACCCACATAGTAAAGTATGTGGCAGAAAGGAGAAACTCGCCAAATACTCCATGAATTAATTGAAAAAATATCTGTAAAGTAATGGTGCAAGTAAGGAACATGAAAAGTCTCAAAATTTGGGGGGAAGTTGATCTGTGCATTAAAATAATTGCTCAGGGACTTCCCTGGCGGTCCAGTGGTTAAGACTTCGGCTTCCAATACAGGGTGTGAAGGTTTGATCCCTGGTCAGGGATCTAAGATTCCACATGCCTTGCGGCCAAAAAACCAAAACATAAAACAGCAGTAATATTGTAACAAATTCAATAAAGACTTTTAAAATGATCTGCATCCAAAAAAGTCTTTAAAAAATAAAGTAAATAATTGCTCCGATTTTTAAGGAAAACAGTAAAAGTCTTATCTACAAAGGGGCAATTGAACTAAAAGGACCAGAATCCTCACTGGACATCAGTATTGTTGTATTGGTGTCTATTGTGTATATTGCTGTTCTTCATAAAAGGCTAAAAGAAAATGAAAATCTGTCCCTTCCTACCCTTTGCCTGTCCTTCTACCTTTCTCCCAAGAGCTCTGCAATTCCCACACTAGCTCTGCAATATAGACAGTAAGAACTTTCCCATTTTTCAAATCACTCCTCTCAGGTGTATAGTAAATTGTCGGGGATCAAACGTCGTAAGCAGCAAGAGTCTCCTTTACCTCCTGAGTCCCCAGATTCAGCTCAGTTATTTTGCTGTTTGCTCAGAGATACTCCAGACCCTACCTATCTTCCTCTGCCTCTTCTCTGTTTCCTCCTGATGTCTAGTTCAGCACTATAGGCTCAAGTCTTGGCAAAGACACACTTAGAGAAGGCTCCTTTTGCCAAGAGGAACCTAAGTTCCATCCTAGTAGACTATCATCCTTTTAGCTTCAAATGAATTTGTAAAATTCTGAGTTGCCACGATCTTGCTTGGAGAGATCTTGTATGAGAGAACTGCCTGTGTCAGTTGAATGCCAGGGGCTTAAACCCTAAAGAAGAGACAGAAGCTCATAGGGACACAATAAACTTTGACAGCTTTATTTCTCTAATAAAATGGAATGCAGCTAAAGTTCAGAGATGTTTTGAGGCTTGCCCTGCTTTTGCATGGCAGGTTGGAGCTCTGTCCCAGTTCCCCTGCCCTTAGATTTTTCCACTACTCAGCAGTTGCCTCCAGAGAGCTGAGCTAGATTAACTCCTAAATCTTTTAGTATATTGTACCTAGTTTCTTTTTTAAAGATTTGATTCTTCACAGCATATTGCATTGTTTTTTTTAAAGATTTGATTCTTCATAGTATATCATGATATGATTTATCTGGTTCTCAATCAAAACAGGAAAAGAAACCTCTGAGAAAGAAGCTGCTCAGAGGTTTTAGAGGTGAGGATTGTTTAAGGGAAGAACCAATGGTGTCCTCCTCTGCATACCAAGGAAGCACTCAACAACACTCCCTCACACATTACAGGGATATAGTCATGGTGAGTTCTGTTCCAGAGGGTGAAACTGGGTAGGGAAGCCCAGGAGAGCAGAACTATCATGCCTCAGCTGTAGTCTTCCTTATCTTCTCCAGAACAGCCCACTTCTAACTTGTATTCAGACTTCTGTGCGCTAACTTGTAAGCGCACAGAAAGGACAAGCTTTCTCTGGTGGTAATAAGGACTCCCTTGCTTAGGCAAACAAGCAAAGACTGAATGACCATCTGCCACTAGAAGAGACTCATTCTTTCTTTGGAAGGTTGTATCGTATTCATCTTTCATTCTATAAACTTGTAGTGCCTAGGCAGGCTCAGTGCTAGGGATTCAAATACAAAAAGGCAGAGAGAAATGATTGTCTTGATCCCTCCCCCATCCCCAAATCCATAATCATATGGCTTTTTTTGATAACTAGAAAAAAGAAACAGGTACTGTGGCAAACTCTAAAATGTGACAAGTCATAATCCGAGGCATTTTGAAGAATCTTGGAGGGTATGTGTATTAGGGGGCAGCGGGGTGGAGGGGAGCGTAGGTGCCTTGGTAGGAAGCAAGAAATGCATTGAAAAAGTATACTGAGTTCTGAGACAGAAGAGAGGTTAAATAATTCTTATAGTTTAAAAGGCCTTCTATTAACCTTCTAAACACCACACCCTTATGCACCATATCAAACAAGTGATTGAGTCTTGCTCAGTACCATTGTATATGTGCATACCCAAAAAACATGGCAAGCGATGAAAATAAAGAGGTGGTAAAACTTACCAGTTTTCTCCAACTATGCAAGGGGAGCTTAGCTAATTGTTATAATGTTCTTTCCTTTACTTCTTTCCTAATTTCTTCTGAAATGAAACAGAGAGAAAGCAAAATGTTAAAAAACACAGAATAAAAAACATTCTGATTTGGACGTTAGTAACTGGTTTTCTGTTTAAATCATTTCACCCTTTTAATATTGGTCTCTGAATTTGTTCATCTCTTTCCTTCTCTGTAAATTTTGCATTTGTCCTTTTCAATACTTTTGCCTTCTTCTGCCAAGTAAGGTAGAACTAAGCCTACTTGCCATTCCATTTTAATCATTAACTACCATGGGCACCATTAGAACTATATTTGAACACGTTCCAAAATCTGTTACTCAAAGGCCATTCATTAATTCAACAAACATTTATTATTGAAAGAAAGTATTTATCTTTAGCTAATATAAATAAATTGAATACTTTAAGAGATATGACCTGATACTAACTTTAAGCTTAAAATTTTGTGTCAAGAAAATACAAAAGTGTTTTGATTTTGGTAATCATGTCACAATGTATATATGTAGCAAATCATCACATTGTCACCTTAAATATATATAATTTTTGCCTGTCAATTATACTTTAATAAAGCTGGAGAAAAAATATAAAAGTTTTTAAGGAGTTGTGTCAAATCAAATCCAGTTAGTCTTAGGTTCTGTTATTGTCCTGC